TAATTTTGCTTATTTCACTATACTTTACAGCTTATGATACCTGCGTTCCGTCAAGTTTGCAGTGAGATGATTAGCCGATGGGAGAGGTTGGTGTCTGTAGAAGGAGCAATTGAATTGGATGTTTGGCCCTTTCTTAAACATTTGACTGCTGATGGGATTTCTCGAACAGTATTCGAAAGTAAGTATGAAGAAGGAAGACTGATATTCCAACTCCAAACAGAACTGGTTGATCTTACAATGAAAGTTGAATTGTCAAATTTCATTCCAGGTTGGAGGTATAGATATCCAATTAATGTTGAAAACAAAAATTACTATACGATAGTGGCATCAAATCAATGTGTTTGATAGTGGATGCTTAAATACCTTTAGAAATAGTTAAATTTTTTTAAATAAATATATGTGACAATCCTCTATATATTAGCACACAACTAATAAGTATCAGTATTATCTCGGTATCTTAGGATCACCTGTTAAAACATATATATTAACTCAAGTTATTTACTAATAATGACAATAACATAAAATTTAGGATATGGATGCATGTCTCATATATATAGAATTTCATATGTACACCTTAATATAGATTTTTCACTGAAAACCAATTAATCTGTTCACACATTACAAATTTGAAAATAGAGTATGCATTGCATAGATAATGTAGTTAATTCAGGCTACTTTGTATGCAGATTTAAGAGTTTAATACTAGTTCCTTTCGTTTTTAATTAACTTTTTAGTGCATATTTATATGTATAGGCTCTTACCTAGTAAAAGGAATAAGAGATTGAAGGAAATTGACAAAGGAAATACGAGCTGTACTCATTGATATAATTAAGAATAGAGAGAAGGCAATGAAAGCAGGTGAATCCATAACTAAGGACTTACTATCCACTCTAATGGAATCCAATTTTAGAGGAATTGAAGAACATGGAAAGAACAAAGATGTTGGACTGACTATTTATGATGTGATTGAAGAGTGTAAGCAATTCTACTTTGCCGGGCACGAGACATCCTCAGTTTTGCTTGTTTGGACTATGGTTTTACTGAGTAAGCATCATAATTGGCAAGCATGTGCCAGAGAAGAAGTTTTGCAAGTCTTTGGTGATAAGAAGCCTAACTATGGTGAATTGAATCATTTAAAAGTTGTGAGTATCACATACTATATATTGCACAAAGTCCTCTTTTTTTCGTTCTTCGTATTTGATTTTACTGAATTCATTTTGATGTTCAATGCTTAGGTCTCAATGATAATTTATGAGGTACTAAGGCTCTATCCACCAACGTTTGCTCTTTCTCGAGCCATTCCCAAAGAAACAAAACTTGGAAACTTGTCATTACCTGCTGGAGTTGAGATCCCCTTGCCAATTTTCTTAGTTCATCAGGATGAAGAAATTTGGGGTGATGATGCAAAGGAGTTTAATCCGGAGAGGTTTTCGGAAGGAATTTCAAAGGTGACAAAGAGTCAAGTTTCATACTTCCCTTTCGGATGCGGTCCTAGAATGTGCATTGGACAAAACTTTGCTTTGATGGAAGCAAAAATAGCCTTGGCGTTAATTCTGCAAAACTTCAGTTTTGAGTTATCTCCATCTTATGTTAATGCTCCTCAGAGATTTATTACTGTTCAGCCACAACATGGTGCCCGCTTGATTTTGAAGAAACCATAGTGTGAAAACTTTCAGTTATTGTTAAATAAGATTGGCATTACCACTGTTAGAACTCTGGCATGATGGCTTCAGCTTTGAACTTTCAATGAAACACCGGAAGGATGTGTTTGGATCACCACCCCATCAAGGCCAGTCAGACAAATCATTCTTGGGCCTTTGTTCTGAAGGTGTATTGGGCCTATGACCTGTAAAATACAACAATTTTTTTTTAAATCAATAACCATTGTCTTTTTTTTTTTATCATCGGCCAGCTTACACTTTATATGCATCTCAATAAATCCTTTAAGTCTTTGGAACTGTTGATCATGTTAGAATCTCAATGACTATCTCTATTATTGTCTGGAAAGACATAAACTCAAGAATTTATAGAATTTTTTTTTCTCTTTTACTATCAGGTCACCCAATGGTAATTCAATAAATACCATACACTTCTATGGAACAAAGATTGGCAAGAGAGAAAATACTTAATAGTTGTCACAAATTCACTGGCTAGTTATATAGATGGTGTGGTACAACAACAGTAGTATTCTAGATTTTTTTTTTTTTTTTCAATAGAAGAGTTAGTTTTTTTCTGTAATTCTTTATCCTCTTATAAATATATATTCAAGTTTAATTTTTATAAAATATTGTGTGAAACAAAATTTTTTATTTTTTTATAAAAATATTTAAAAAAATTAATTTTCAAATACTAAAAATAAATACAAATAAATAATAATTGATATAAAAGTACTTTCACTAATTAATTGAAGTAAATGCTAATTAATGACTAATAACAGTGATTAACAGTGAAGTGGTAATCAAGTTAGTTAATTATTACATCATTTACACATAATCAATTACTTTTAAAAATCCATTATCCCATTCCCAAGTGCCATGCTGCTGACCATTAATCAGTCAAAAGTCAAAACTCTTATTAATTGGGCCCAGAAAGGTCTCCCCTCCCTCCCAGCACTTCTTTGGTTTGCGTTGTAATTCATCCATCCTCGTAGTTTCATCTGAATTTCATAATTATTTGCAGGTAATCCATGGATCAATGGATAAAAAAAAAAAGGTTACAGATGTAGAAGATACCTGTCTCCTCCAACAAGTCAAGTCAATGCCATGTAAAACAAAAGATTGGAAAATTACATAAATAAAGCAAAAGATGTGATGTGAATTGACCATAATCCATGAATAGTCCTCATTAGCATCATCTTTCGTAATTTGTATGACGATTACTAGGAGAAAAATTATTAGTGGATCACTAGAATTTTATGGATTAGCCATTAAGCTAATAGCCAGGAGACAAGGAAATTACTGCCCTTTTATTATTATTGGTTTTATCATGGAAATGCATCCTTACTTTCCACAAACTTAAAAACCCTATTTTAGTAGAAACATACAACGCTCCTTGCCGCGATCTACAAGTTAGAATTATTGTCTCCTTTAATTTCTCCCAATATGAATTAGCATCAGCGTCAGCAGTGATTGAAAATGGAATTGTACTGCGTACATATATATAAAGTCTTGTCCAAACCAAAGCTCACGAAAGCAAAAGAGACCAATTGGGTTTGTCTAGAAAAGTGGTAAAAACATGTAAGCATTTGAGGATCACCATTTAAGCATGCAATAACCAGAAATTTCCTTCAATGACTTAAACCATGAATAAATAAAGAGAAGTCTGTCAAAAGTAATGCTTTTAACTTTCTTCATTTTTCCATTTATTTTTGACTTGACTTACAGTCGATCTTGTCTGTTCTCGCTTAAGTCAGCAAACACATGGATCTTGGAAATTTGCTGCATATTATTTTCTCTATGTTTACGTCAACTAGGATGAAAGATGTGACTGGTTCCTATTGATGGGAGCATGCTAAGTTTTACCACATCAAAACCCATTCACACACACACACGTACGTATATATATATATATATACACAGTATATATAAACATCTTCAAATATTATTGCCACGTGTTAAACTATACTTGGTCTTAATAGGAACCGTAGTCAACATTTTGGTCGTGGAATTATTGTTTTCAACTCGTTTACCAAGTCGCCACAACCATTTGTATTTATATAAATTAAAGATATGATAATTCATATTAACTATAAGTTTAAAATATAATATGTAAGCTTCATTGTGGCGGTGATCAATGATCGGGATTGGGATTGGGGGTTTCTTAAACTAATTATTAATTTGCTCGCTAAAAGGCGTGGACGATTTCCAACCCTGATATCGGCTAGTTTGTAAATAATTCATACACTTGATTTCGTATTTGTTTCATTATTAACATATTATTTATTTATATATCAAAATTATTGTTCAATATTTTAAGTTGAGGCTTAGGATATATAACTTCAAATTAGACACAATTTTTTTAAAGCCCTTTAATTGGATATGATTTTTAAAGCCTTGTGACAAAAGATTTGAATGTGGCTTATACATTCGTGCTTCTTTCATTGAGGAATCAAGAGATAAATTTTAAGTTAAAGAGATTCAATATAGATATTGAAAGTGTGAATAACAAAAGAGCTTTTTTAAGGTCAAAAGCTCTTTTTAAAATTTCTTTTATATATAGTTTTCTTTACATCACAATAAGTGCTTATTGATGATTAAATAAGCTATTTTATTTCAATTTGGATAAGTCCATATTTGACCTTCTCCCATAAGCTTTTATTTAACTTATTTAAAGTTTTGGATATATATATATCCAAAAACCCAGTGTAATATTTTAGAAATTTGAATTGATCATTTCTTATATTAAAACCTTTTCTTGGTAATATTATATTGGGGAGTTCTTTTACATAGTTTACTCATTAAAAGTGATTTCGTATATACTCTAACAAGCTCTATTTCTGTAAACTCTACTAAAATAAAGTACTACAAATACTAACTGCAAAAGTCATTTAAAGTTGTGTTTAAGTATCCCATCACTAATTGGCTTGAGTTGTTCTAATTTCTTTTTAAACTTTATTATTGAAACAAATATGTGTGAAATTTTGAAATAATTAAAATATTAAATTGAATGTTGGGTAAACAAAAAAAAAAAAAAAAAAAAACAATATTACGTTGACAAACGAATCTTACAAACTTTCTCTTACAAACTCAAAGTGACACTCTCACCACACTTCTAGACAACGTCAAGAAGCGGGAAAATTCATTAAAAAATAAAAATTAGCTACTACGATAAGATTGTGAGAAAAAACTTATGAGATTCGTTTATCAACTTATCTTTATTTAAAAAAAACCACAGTAAAAGAGTAACCTTTAAGTAAATGAAATACAAAATAATGTTTTATCAACGATGAGGAAAGTATTTTCAATCAAGCAAAGGCATAAATGCGAGGCTTTACAAAGGAGTAAATAAATAAATGCATTATCATGGCCATCGTGTGAGATATTAAAGCCCAAAAGGGGGCACAAACTTGTTTAGTTACAAGAGGTTAATTAGCTGAAGCTAAGACTAAATAGATAGCTTAATTAAAAACTTGAAGATTAAAGGTTTAATTTGATCCCCAAGCCTTAATTAATCGTTATCTTTTGCTATACAGAACTTTTTGCACGTCATCTTTCACTCTCTGTTATTCTCCTATTTGTATCCTTTTAACCAAGACTTGATTTATCACCGTCTTGGTCAATATGATTCTAACTTTTGTACTTTGTCTCTTTGTCTCCACAAGAATACTGCTCAAACTGATCCTTGAATTGTGACTAGAACAATGGTGTTAACGTCGATTCATCACCGGTCGTCAGAAAAACGTTGTACCAGAAGTCCATGCAATCATCAACTACTTTTGGACTGCAATTGTACCCTGGTTCCACCATTGGAAATGAAGACTGAAGTTGTATTATTTCATTAGTGGAGTTCGAGTTCCCATCAACCGCTGATGATAATGCTTCTGACCAGAAACTTTCATCGATTTCGGGAAAATTCTCAAATGACTCGATGGGTTCACCTTTCACATCCATATACTGATTTGTTTCTCCAGTTGTGATCGATGAGACTTCACTGGAAGACGGCTGCGGAGACATTGGAACGGTTCCAGTTGTTTCCGATTCCGTTGTGATGTTGGGTTCACGTTTGACTTTCCTTTTAGGTTGTGGTTTGGTTTCCGAATTTGCCTCTTGGTTTTGTCTCAATTTCTTCTTCAAGTGGGTGTGCCACACATTCTTAATCTCATTGTCCGTCCTTCCTGGTAATCTCGCAGCGATTGCTGACCACCTGGAAAATCAAAAAATCGAAAATATCTGTATAAGAAACCTGAGAGTTTTGAAAATAATCTTCCATTACTTTCATTACTGAATCGATAATTACCTGTTGCCTAACGCTTCATGCAACTTAATGATAGTTTCTTCTTCTTCAACGCTGAAGTTTCCTCTCTTAATATCCGGGCGTAAATAGTTTATCCACCGGAGTCTGCAACTCTTTCCACATCTCAACAATCCTGTACACAAACGATTAACACAAAATATCAGACACAGGCCAAGAAGGCGAATTTTCTGATCAATGACTGCTTCAAATGTTTAGTTAATTACCGGCTTGCTTTGGTAACGCGCGCCAATTTGCATGACCGTGTTTTTGGATATGGGAGATTAAGATTCGATCTTCTTCAGGGGTCCATGGCCCCTTCTTCAACCCCATTTTCTCGCAGCAAGGAGCTCTTCCCATCTTTGATTAATTGTTTTAATTTGGTGGTATGGAATGAAGTGATGATGATCTCCGTAACTCTTCACTCTTTCTCTCCAAGTGAAAGGTAATATTTTGAGGGCACAAACTGGCTATTTATCCTGAAGATATTCCACAAAGCGGCTTGAAAAGTCAAGACAGCTAAGGCATCTTGGCGATCAAGGATCAACAATGCAAGCAATTTCCAGGAAATTGGATAGTCTTTTGATAAATAAAAAGCAGAGTATGTTCTGAGTCAATTGATTTCACCATTTGTCATGTAGTGACTGGTAAAAGCAAAGAAAAAACTTACCTAAATATATTAATAATTAATTATTTATTCCATTAGTGAAGTTAGCAAATGACGCTTCATGATGCACATGCAGTCGCCAATTAACAAATCAAAACTTACAAATTACCTCTCCATCTCCCTAATTTTATCCACATTTAGGAGCTTTAATTAGTAATACAAACATTCATATTAATTGTCCAGAGTTATCCACTTTTCCCACCCAAATAATGGCTTAATGATATTGTTTTACCTATAGACTTTTAAAATATCATTTTATTGTCTAAATTTATATTTCAGACGGTGAACAAAAAGCAACTCGGTCTTGGTGGCGAAGAGGGGGAGGCCAGTAAGTCTTTTGGTAATGAAAAATTGGATTTTGATAGTTTGGATTGATCGGCATTTGACTTAAGAAATGTAATTGCGCAAACCCTACTCATTCGATTGTCTGTGATTGACGAGGCCTGCAAGAGTAGGGTTTGAAGGGTTTTGATAAGTGATGACAAGGGAAAAAGAAAGTGGTGGTGTAGGGTCGCAACGATAACAGAATTGGAAACAAAATATAAATTAAAATTTGAATAATAAAGTGGCATTTTAAAAATCTATGGGTAGAAATTAGGTGGAAAAAAATCCTTTACTCTAATTTTTTAATTATATAAGATGTAAATTTGAGATTTTATACTGTAATAAATAATATAAATTAATACTATTAATATCTTACCATATACTTGGTCCATAACGGAGTCCAATTTTGGGCGTTCCTTTATGAGATGTTAATTGATGAAAGACTGAAAGAGGCATCCGATTTGTACATAATAAGACTTGTATAAGTAATATGAATTGTATTTGGACAAAATTAATTAAATGGTCAAAGATTTTCATCACGACACTTAAAACGTAAAGCCCACTTGTTCAGTTTTTAAGCTTAATGTATCGCACGTGGTTTGATTATTTTTTAACTTCCTGCTCGTAAACTATTGCTCAAAAAAGAAATGTGAATTTGGTTTAAATAAGTAGGGTACTTATGTACTAAATGCTTTTATTTAATAATTTTTCTACATATTAAATATTTCAATAATTTCTTTTGAAAATAAAAGGCCTATAGGGGTTTTTCTAATTATATTTTATTGGAACACTTTAAAATATATAACTAATCTTTTAATAGTATATGTAACTCCAACACATTTCAAATTCAATATACGTCTACAATATTATATTTACATTCAAAGATCATATGTATTTATTCAAAGTAGTCCATACGTAATATTTATTTTTTCTTGAAATTCACATGTCAACTAGATTTGCTAATAAATTATATACATTTTAGTCCACCAAAATTAATTTAGTTCTATCTTTTCGTCTTCACACTTCATTAAAACCCATAAGAGTAAACAACATGTTCCCACCCAAGGTTTCGCAAATTCGCTAGTTCCCACCCTTGGTTTCATAAATTCCAAATTTCTATATTTAAATTAACAGAAAATCATTTAATTTAACGATTAAAGGGTATTTAGGTCTTTTTATCCAAAATAACCCTCTACATCTCCAAATTCCAAATTCCAACCGGTTGGCAACTGGTGGAGAGAACGGAAAAGCTACCGATGATAAGGAACAAAAAGGGAGACAAAGCCACAGTTGCTCGTGCGTGTTGGGTGGTTTGTGTGGTTGGGCAACATGGAGTTGGTTGGGGAAAAAAGTTGAGAAGGTGGTGGGCAAGCAATGGTGGGTGGGGTGCAGGTGGTGGCCGTTGGTGGTAGTCGGGCCTTCTTAATCCAAAACCAAATCAACACAACAAGCACTCCAATAATCAATTAAAATTACAACCCAAATTGCAAAACCAATCAAACTCCAACATCCATCAAGAAACCAAAAGAAATCAGTCAATCGCGAAATTGACAGTAGTGGGGATGTTGGTGACAGGGAGTGTGGTCGGCAGTAGCTACCAGATGCCAGGGAGATGAAGAAGGTTCGGTCTCAATCATTTTTCTGTTTTCTTTGAGGAGAGATAATTTTCTTGGGCATGAGAAGAAAAATGACACACACGGAGGCTGACTGGAAAGTCGCGCGACCATGGTAGACGAAAAGTCGCACAATTAGGGTTTTACGACGGTTGGAAGATGGTGTTTGAGGTGGCAAAGGAATGGTCGTGGGTTGGTGTTGGTGGAGGTAGTGTGTTGTGGTGCTGGGTTGGTGTTGGAGAGAAAGGATTGGGTTGTGAGTAAATTTGGAGATGTGGAGAGTTATGTCAGATAAAAAGACTTAAATATCTGTTTTGTTAATTTAAGAATGAAAATGTAGAATTTATGAAACTAGGGGTGGAAACTTGTCGATTTGTGAAACCTTGGGTGGGAACATGTCATTTACTCAAACCCTTAAATATATAAATAAACATTTATTATGATTAGTAAATAACTAAAGAAAACATCGTTATAAGTATATAATCTTATTGTAGATTTAGGTGTATTAATTATATGGTCAAAATTAAAAGGGAGGCTGAGGCTCGCATCTTTTGACTAATTGGTTCATTAAATGATCAATAAAATTCAAAGTTCAAAAAAAGAAGCACGTGGCTATTACATTAAAATCTAAAATTAAAATCAGACAAACTAGAATGATTGCTTCATCAGATTGAATGATTTGAGTAATATTAATAATATTAATTGAAATTTGAGACATAGGACTAGGAGGATAACAGCCGTCCTAGTCAAATCCCAGTGACTTCGGGGAAGCAATGCCTTCTTTTAAAATTGCATTTTGATTTTTATTATTGATTTTCTATAACAGAATATTTATATATTATAGTATTCCTATAGATAATTAAATCATTTTACTTATAGAAATTTAATTTAGTTAACTCATTTTTTAAAATTATTCGAGATATTATTGATAATTTATTAGTTCATTAAGGGTTTGATAATGTATTAAATTAAGCTGTATCATGTATGACAATGTGGTATCGATTTACTGCAATTAACTATATAGTGTATATGATAAACTATCAAATATTTCATTTAAATGATTTAATTATTTTAGTAGATGTAGTTTTAAACGTGATATTATTGAAATCAATCAAACATATTCTTCATTTTCCCCTCTATTTCCTATTCCAGTCACAATCATATGTTGCCGACGAAGAGAGATTAATACTTCCAAAAAATGTAATTAAAATATAAAGAGTTGAATGACACCTATACAAAGTTATTTTACCCATAAAATTAATTAATGATATATTGCTCTCCTATTTTTGACTGCTTCTTTTTATTAGGAGACTTCGTACATTTATAGCTGTTGACAGATTAATTATATAAGCTAGCAGCAATGCTTGATTCGTTGATTACTTACTCAAATCTCGTTCTTTCCAACAATTGAAATTCAATCACATTTGAATAATATTAATTAATTAATTAATTAATTATTCCACTTGAAAGCTATGTAATCAGTTAATTAAACCACGCAATGAGAAAATTTCAAAATGCTTTTCCCACTAGCGACCAAGTTGAAGTAATTAAATTCTTTTAAAATTAGGCTGTTGGTTTACTTTTAATAAATATATTGTATAATTAAGTAGAATAAGTGAAATTCAGTTGGTCCCCAATCGCCCAATAATACAAAGTTTAATTGTTTAATGGTTGCTTTAAGAAAAGGTTGCTACACGTCATTGATATAGTCAAATGAAATCTAATTAACAACATGAACAGTGATCTCGTTGGTATGGATAACTCATATCACCTTTAAGAAAGTTATTGATCTTAATATTTAAATTTGCACAACTAGCTAAGTGGATCCAAGGGGAGATTTGCCTTTGCAAATTGCATTAAACCTATGAGTTTAATTATTAATCACAAGGTTTTTTAATTAACATTTTGTCAATACATGAAATAATGTTTATAATCTCATAATATATATATATAAAGAAAGAAAGAAATTGTGATTTGTGGGACAAATTAAACTTGAAAATGCAGACAAAAACGGATATTGGAAGCAAAATGATTGGAGGCGAGGTGCGAAGCTATTTATATTTTATGGTCAAAGTCAATTTTTTGGGCTAGATTTTTTCTGTCAATTATATTATTTTGCACATGTACATTGTTTATTGTTGTGCCTCTCTCTCTCTCTCTCTCTATATATATATAATGCTTTCTGCTAAAACAATTAACATATGATGATATATTTCTTGAAGAAACACCAGCTAGAAATCCATCTAATAAACAGCTTTAAAAGTTCAAAACATTTTTAATTAACCATAAATTTAAATCCCTCTTAAAGTTTATTAAGATTATAGTTTTCATATAAGCAAATTCTCCACATTATTTGAAGTCTGATAAGCCACTTAATCTTTAATATTTGGTAATGGGTAAATTTAATTAATTTTTTCTTTAGGAAAAGAATTCGAGCTTAAATACTTTAGTTTGCATAATTTTTATTTTGTAATGAGTAAATTTAATTAATTTTCTTTAATACTTTAGTTTGCATAAAACAATGTGGAAAGTGGTGGGCAATTATATTTTCAGTCTTAACCTCCCTCAATTAGACATGAGTGGTTAAAAGATTGTGTGTTTTCTGTTGTAGTATTAATAATGGATTATCCTTGACTGATCCTTGTTTAATTAAATAATTAATCCATATACAACTATTATTATTAGTATATGCTGATCTACTCTATTATATTCTTCAATAAGTTTTATATTCATAAATCATCATGCCTTTTCCTTTGTCAATGGCCCTTGTTTTCATCATCTCTTACTTAAGTTGTTTGGATTTTGTAGCCATTTTCGACTTTCTGCTTTTTCCATTTCATACTTGAACAAATATTAAACAATTCCCACAGGCGTGCACTCATAATACATAACAAAATTTAATTCAAAGAAAAGGAGAATTTTAACTCAGTATAATAAAAACAATTATTATATATTTATTGTATGAGTTTTAAAGTTATAATTAATCTATTGAATTTGTTTATTATTCTGCGTCAACATTCGACGGCTGTTGTACTTATTAGAGTTTATTTGAGATCTTAAAATTCTTATTAACTATTATTAAACAGAAAAAAAAAAAAAAAAAGACAGAGAATATTACATAAATCAATTAAAATGATATTAGTAAGTAATATAGTCACATTAGGCTTCATATAAAACCCTTCATAATTATATAAGTTTATCGTAGAGTACAATTCGTTGATAATTATTCCAAAATTTATGTTATATATCACTTCGAATTGATAACAAAAACCGATAAGTATAAATAAATATATTCTTGATCTTTGAATGAATCTTAATCTTGGTTTAACTTATCTTTCATAAATTGATAAAGTTCTTAAGGTTATTATAAATCATTTCCGCATGGTATTGTCATCCATAGACTAATATAAGAAACATTTTTTTTCTCATAGGGATGAATACGTACGTTAACTACTTCACATCATTCAAGTTCAGAATATTTGAATTAATCAACGCGGTGGCACCAAAATGCCAGAGAAAATCATAAAATATCTTCCTTTAACTACGAAAATTTCAAGATTTCTGGTTTTAATATTTGATTTTCTATTCATCTATCGAGAAGTTTCAATTCAATAATGTAAACTAGCGAATAAAATGCAGCGAAATGGCTGCAATTGACTGCTATCTCTAGGGATGTCTTAATCTAATCATCTTGAAATTATTGTAGTAAACCTTTTGGTTTTACAAGTAAACTCCTTTTTTTTTTTGTCCTAATAAGAGTCTTAAGTTTACTAGTATTTTTCTAACTCATAAGTTGAAAATTATTTTTGATTTTAGAGCTTAGAATATTGGTTTCAAAGTGTTCACGTTATCGTAGGTTGATTAGACTCATAATATTTTTAATCTNTTAATTGTATGAGTTTTAAAGTTATAATTAATCTATTCAATTTGTTTATTATTCTGCGTCAACATTCGACGGCTGTTGTACTTATTAGAGTTTATTTGAGATCTTAAAATTCTTATTAACTATTATTAAACAGAAAAAAAAAAAAAAAAAAAGACAGAGAATATTACATAAATCAATTAAAATGATATTAGTAAGTAATATAGTCACATTAGGCTTCATATAAAACCCTTCATAATTATATAAGTTTATCGTAGAGTACAATTTACTGATAATTATTCCAAAATTTACGTTATATATCAGTTCGAATTGATAACAAAAACCGATAAGTATAAATAAATATATTCTTGATCTTTGAATGAATCTTAATCTTGGTTTTAACTTATCTTTCATAAATTGATAAAGTTCTTAAGGTTATTATAAATCATTTCCGCATGGTATTGTCATCCATAGACTAATATAAGAAACATTTTTTTTCTCATAGGGATGAATACGTACGTTAACTACTTCACATCATTCAAGTTCAGAATATTTGAATTAATCAACGCGGTGGCACCAAAATGCCAGAGAAAATCATAAAATATCTTCCTTTAACTACGAAAATTTCAAGATTTCTGGTTTTAATATTTGATTTTCTATTCATCTATCGAGAAGTTTCAATTCAATAATGTAAACTAGCGAATAAAATGCAGCGAAATGGCTGCAATTGACTGCTATCTCTAGGGATGTCTTAATCTAATCATCTTGAAATTATTGTAGTAAACCTTTTGGTTTTACAAGTAAACTCCTTTTTTTTTTTGTCCTAATAAGAGTCTTAAGTTTACTAGTATTTTTCTAACTCAGAAGTTGAAAATTATTTTTGATTTTAGAGCTTAGAATATTGGTTTCAAAGTGTTCACGTTATCTTAGGTTGATTAGACTCATAATATTTTTAATCTCGACAAGATTTCTAGTTAATCACAACAAGAATATTAATGACCTATTCTAACACATAAAAAGCTTTAGAATATATCATAATAATGTCGCAAAACATCATTCTATCTAGGCCACTTGTGTGTACTTCAATCAATCCCTTGGGACCCTAGAACTATCGATCGGATAAAAGTTTCAATGACCACCCATATTAGGGGTTATGGAGAGTCGAACTCGAAAGACCATATTAGATCTTCCTCTTATTCTTCTACTATTGAGAAAACTCTAACTTGGAAGACTATATTAGATTCTTTTTTGCTCTTTTACTATCAAGTCACCCAATAATAATTTCTAACATCTATATTTGCATCAGCAAAATGTTGGTGGATAAAAAACAATTGAACATTAGCTCATTATACATAAACATTAGTTAATGGTTAGTGTGGGTTTCGAACTTGTTTCCAAGTGGATGGGGAGAAAAAGATGGTTCATGTTTGGATTAGTTGGGCAAATTTCACTTAATTTTTGCAACAAGATGACAAATTTAAAAAAATGAGACTTGTGATTTTGTTTAGTAGTAATGGAATAATGGTAGTCTTTAGCATGTGCATGCACTTATATATCTAAAGTAAGAGAAAAGATTAGTGGATGATTATATTAAAGTATGACAGAAAACATAGATGCTCTTAATATAAGTACAGTACTTGAGGCTTATCTATAAAAAGAAGAAAAGGATAATCATAACGAATTTAAACAAAACTTATACTACAAATTATACTATTTATCATCTTAAAAAATAATAATACTAGTGCTTCGGTACATTATAAAAATGAACACTCTTATTAATAAAATTTGAGTTAATTACTCTAATCTCTATGATGTATGCTAAAATAACAACAATCCACATATTATTTCCGAAATAATAGACTTCTCTCTATCGTTAAATTTTAGGTGTCAAAATAAATGATAGAAAGACAATTTGATAATGTTTACTAACTTATACTAGTGTAAATGTTTCCTTACGACTTATTAACTGTTCATTAACGATAAAGGAATTTTGTTATTTCAGAAGTTTTTCTTATTCTTCCGTAGCCGAAGGGGTTAATGTTTTAATTCTAGAAATTATGGATTCTCTCCTGATTTAAATTATTATTTATGGACAATTTTTTATGAGTCCTTGGATTCTTTAAGGGTTATGTATATTTGCAAAAAACGAGAGCATAATTTATTTACTTATTTTGTTACATTAAATGGAAACGGGAATAAAAATAGATGGAGATTGAATGTGGGCAGAATGTCAAAGATCATAATTTATTTCGAGTTATTAGCCTCATTTTTATTTATTTAATAATACTATATATAAAAACTCATACTAACTTATATATTATAGACTGACTGGATAATTTAAAATAAAAAATGAATTAAACAAATTAAAACAAATGCCGTTGCAAGCATACAACGTTATCACATCAGCTTATATGAATTAATTTGTATAATGAGTATATAGATCTAGCATTGCTTATTATTTTTTTTTTTTCTGTTTTCAAAGTCATAAAACTAGTCAAAGATGGTCGATTTGACAGATAGCCAGAAAAGTTGGGGGTGCTGATAGATTGTTACCAAACCTTGGGGGTGGCCATAAGCCCTTGATTATTTGAACTTTGAAGTGTTCATTTTTAAAACATTTGAATTTGCAATCTAAAATCAAATTAAACGTGGGCTTAGGTTTAGCCGTTTAGGCCCATTAGACTAAAGAATTCCTAGCTTCTGATAGCCCAACAATTAATTCAGAAAATGAGCTAATTAAAAAAAAAAAAAATCTAATACTTATAAATTAACTATATAATTTCTTTTTCCTACAAATTAATTAAAAAACATAACTGAAATTACTTTTGTTTACCTACACCTAATAAAGTGAATAAAATTTATTCAAAAAAAAAAAAAAAATCCAGGCCTTCTGTCTTGAGATCACTAGCTTATTTTAAAAATAATATGATAACATAATATTACAGCAAAATGTAAAACATAATTCATACAGTGGTTAGATACAGGAGGAGGGGATAATAAATTAAGAATGCAATTTCAAGGCTCTTTCTAAATCCTATGCAATTCAACCATTCTAAACTTTAACACATTACAATGTCCTCAAAATGAAATTATCTCAGGCTCATATCAGGATCATCTTCATCATCAAAATCTGCTTCACTTAATGCCCTGTTTCTCTTTCCATCTCTTACTGCTGAAGCTGCTCTTCCCTTCTTTGGTTTACCCCTACAAAATGTGTTTAAATATTTTTTTACTAACTTATAGTTGATTGTGAATTCCAACCTGAATTTGTTTCTATTATGTTCAAAATTAAGGTTCAGATAATTTTAATGGTTTAAGGATGGAAGGGTGCACTTACTGTCCATTTGAAGGTAAGCTTCCCGCCTTAGACCTACCAGGGCCATAATCAGATCTTCCATCTGCAACATCCAATAATGGAGAAAATCTGGATCAATATATTGCCATTACGAGAAATGGTACTTAAAAAATAATGAATAAGGATTTACCATCACGTCCAACTCCAAGTTCTTCAGCCTAAACATAATAAACACAAAGTGAACAAACCAGTGCTGTTAAATTTGAATATCTCAACTACATTTTTATATGAGATGCAAACTCCTTATGATAATTTTGCATTACTACTCGATGGTAGGAAATGAAAAAACAAAGATGCAGCATATAATGATAAGGCAAAGGCAAAATGCCCAGAACTGAAATGCTTCACTTTTGAAGCTTTTAAAATACTATTAAGCTCCTTTTCTCTGGCATCTGGTAGGGTAAATGGTTTCACATCATTTTAGCTTGAAAAAGACATGCAGCAAATACATTAAGAAGTGACTACAATTGGTACAATTAATTAGTCTTTCTATAAAAAATAAATAAACAAATAAAAGAATATAGATGTCGAAATATTATGGTAGCAATTAGCTGGAGTCGCCATGAATTATAGCTACTTTAGCCAATAAAACCCATGCAGACCACATTTACACAAGAAGGGTTGAGTTTGTGGGTAAACGAATGTTGGAGCCGACTGCTAACAAATCGGACCTATGTGCAACCTAGAGCAGATTTTCTCTACCAGAGAATTGTGTTTAAGGTAAAGAATTCACAATCTGATGTAACGATAGGCCAGGTTTCAGTTGAGGAATAGATATTGTTTAAAGATTCCAATAGTATTCATGATTGTGAATATAAAACAGTAAGCCATTCTGTTATATATTTGTTTGAAATAATCTCCATTTGAAACCTTCAATCTGAAGTTCAATAAAGTTAATTATTTATTTAATTTATATTATTATATAACTAGAGAGTGAATTCTGGCTCCTTCATCTTAATGAATTTGTCTTTAAAACGTCCTTTAAGGTGCATCCTATAGAAAAAATAAGGCCAAGGCAGACAATATTTTTTCAAGAAGAGATGAAACGTAGTTTGAGTCTAATTAAATTAACCTCAGAACCAAAGGTTTGTGTGGACTCACCTTGAGCCAAATCAATCAACTAGTGTGCAATGCGAGTTAGAATGTTCCTAATACATCAAGCTAACAAGTTTAGAATGCCAGATATAAAGGTAATAAATTTAAGGTGAAATGGAATCAGAATTTATTTCCCATATATATCATCATTTAATATCTACTGTATCTGCTCCTGCAGCTAACCAGCTATATTTAAGGGTCTGAGTACTCTGAAAATGCTTAAGTTATAAGTTTATACGGGCACAAATTATGAGGGGAATTTACTATGCTATGATTAAATTTTTTTGACATATTATACATCATATTCTGATTTGATCTTGCGAAAGTCACATCATGCCTTTGTGTGGAAACCAGGGGGTGAAAGAAGGAAAAGGGAAAAACAATGGAGAATCAGAAGATCGACAGATCACAAAGTTGTAAATTTAATACATACCGCTGGTGAGGTAACTGAAGACAACGAGAAGATTCTATCTTCAGGCTGCAATTTCCTGGACCTCTTCAAGCTATTAAAACAATTTAAGATTTGTGAACAAAAAAAATTCAGTAGAAATCTGTACAAAAATTATTTGAATGATACAATGCTCTTTAGATTTGCACTTATTAACTTTTGTCCTAGTAATTTGACCAAAATCAAAGATATTGCCATCAATATTCTGAAAAAGAAAAAAGAAGGGGAAGGGTTCCAAAAATTTGCAATCAATATCAATTCTTCCTCTGAAATTTTCTTTGAAAATTATGAAAAATACAATTCTCCATTATTAGCATTGGTGATTGGACAAATATTTCAACAGCAAGAATCGAAATGTTCATAACACCAAGAAACTTTAATGCTGACAAATTATGATATTCGTCATATGAATTTTAACTGTTCCTTCTTCATCCAGACCCCTCCTTGTCCAGTGCTAGCAACCTCACTCCAACACATTAATGCTTTACAAGTTATAGTGCCTTTGAGTTTCAGTACATCCCTCGGTTGTCCCAAGGATGCTTACAATCGTCTCGAAATTTAAGCAGTAAACTGTAATTGTGTCAAAAAATTTGTTCGCCAATATTTTGAATAGAAAAGGAAAGTAAAAATAAAGAACCAGCAGGGGGATGCCTACCTGCTACAACCCCTGTATGTCACAAGATTCTATTGCAAGTTATGAGTTATTGGCAATTCAACTCTCAATGATAATTTTCTCATCCAAACTAATCCAAACAATTGGCACCGTTCAGTAATTTAAGAAAATAACAAAAATATAGCTCTAATCCAAGTAATTTTCTATTCAGGTGTCCGCACGAGATCTATTGGACCTGTGGGCAACCAAATGGGTGGTAATCTTCTATCATCCTATAATCCTCCTCTTATCTAGTAGGTTGAGTTTGATCCTAGGTCACCTATGCAATGACAATGGCTTTACCAACTGAACTAGCAGATGCTTACCAAAATTTTCCACATTCTATCATTACTTTAAGCTTAGTCTTTACTTAAAGTTCTACTGCCTGAGATATGGAGCCATGTTCTAGATCTAGAAGCTAAACAACAATATCATATAACTGCATACAAGGAAAACTTCACTTAAAGCTTAAATTTGAGAAGATCCAATCATAAAACCTTTAACAATAGTCTGAAACTTTCAAAAGACAAGTAATGTCACTGCATCATTTATTATGTCTAGCCTTTCTAAAGTTTTATTTTTGTATAAAATGCGGAAAATGACAAATTAACAAAACATTTATCGTTGCACAATTTTTTGCGTTAAAAATGACAAGGAATTCTTTAAATGCATTCTAACACTCATTAGTGCAATTAGTTCGCAGAGGAAATCAGTCTACCATTAGACTTAAAAACAGACAAAAGTAGAGTCAACACATAATAGACTTAAAATCAGATCCATCAAACAGAAATTACAAATCATACATTCACGCCATAATACCATTGCAATGGAAACAGGTCAAAGAAGAAAACAATTACTTTGTTGTGTTCTTTGAAGAAGAAAGAAACCCTTCAAAACCTTTCAATGCAGTCCCATATTGGCCTGAATCTTGTAAGTATCTTGTCTCCAAATCATACACCTATTAATTAATCCACAATCATAATCTCAAAAAACAAGAAATAATGTAACAGGGAACAAACAGCTACAATCACTCAACATTTTAAAACAATCAAGAAATCAATTCCCAAAAGAAAATAGACAAGGATTTGTTTGGTATCCAAAAGAAAAAGTCTTCAAATTTTACATTCTTTTCTTCTCTTTTCCTTCATTTTCAGTATAAACAAAACAGAACAAAAATTTACCTGCTTTTCAATATTCCGGAGCTCTTCTTGGAACCTCTCTCTCTTACTCATGAGAGCAGCAAGTACGGACGCGGGATTCGAATTCCCTCTTTGCCCTAAAAACATTTTCTCTTTAACATACAAAATCAGTAAACTCACAACTTCCCTGTTTGGTTCCCAAGAAAATCCATGAAAGGCAAAACAAAAACCGGAATTTCCTATAACAGCACATTTTAGAGTGTAATTAATTACTCTTTTTAAACTCTAAATTTTGCAATGGTTTCTCTTTCCCGGGAATTCAAGAGAAAGTAAAGTAAACGCGAAAGAAAAGAAATCTAGGGTTTTTAAAAGGTTACCGTTGGAATCCATAGACGCGCGGAATTTGAATTTCCGAGAAAGCGGATTGGAACGTTGGAATTTAAAAACTCAAAAAATAATGATTAAAATAAATAAAAATCGGTTGTTAACTATGGGAGCACTGGGTATGGGTTAGGCACGGACGAGATGAGAGTCGGGTCATTAGATTTAGGGCGTGTTTGGGGAAAGTGTTAGATGGGAAACAGCTTTATGTCATGCATACTAATAATTGGTCCAACTTATTCACGATTTATTTATTGACAATTATTGGATTAAGTTTTTTGTGATATTAAATGAAAAGAGTAAACCACTTTTTCCCACCCAAAATTTGCCCTAATAATACTTTCTCGCTAAAAAAGTTTTAAAATACAACTTTACTACTCAAATGTTATGTTCCATTGATAATTTATGTTAAATACAATGATATTCATTGTGAAAACGAAAATATTTTTCTCTCTTCTCTTTTCTTTTCTCTTCTTAGTCAGTAGTGGGAGTAGTTGGAAAACCTACAATTAACCAATAAACACACAAACACTTGCAATAACCCAATCTTTTGTCAAAAGCAACTCCAAATCGATCTCCAATTAAACCCAAATTCAACAAACAATTAAAACCCTAAGGGAGTGGTGGACGACAAACAACGGGCAACCGGGGTCAACAGTGTTAGGGGTTTTGTAAGGAGATGTTGGCGGTGCAGTTGATGACGTCAAGGGTGATTTTCGGTGTCGAGATCGAGCAGAAATAGGGTAGAAAAGGTGCAACAATTGCGTGAAATTGTAGAGGCTAGCGACAGCGATCAGTGGGCTATTATGGTGGGGGAGGTTAGGGGTTTTGAAGGNAACCAATAAACACACAAACACTTCTCTTGTCAAAAGCAACTCCAAATCGATCTCCAATTAAACCCAAATTCAACAAACAAGTAAAACCCTAAGGGAGTGGTGGATGACAAACAGAAGCAATCGGGGTCGAGGGTGTTAGGGGTTTTATAAGGAGATGTTGGCGGTGCAGTTGATGACGTCGGGGATGATTTTTGGTGTTGAGATTGAGCAGAAATAGGTTGGAAAAGGTGCAACAATTACGTGAAAACCGTAGAGGCTAGCGACAGCGATCAGTGGGCTATTATGGTGGGGGAGGTTAGGGGTTTTGAAGGGGGGACATCGATGAGTCTACTAATGAGTTTGGAGAAGATTTTCGATGTTGGGATCAACCAGCAAGCTTGAAATGCGCGAACCAAAGCAATGGGTATTGGCCGATGACTGATGGTGCAAACTGGTGGGGGCGATGGGGGATTTGTTGTGTGGGTTGAGTTGAGTGTTTTGGTGGTGTTAGGGTCGATCGATGTCGTTGGAATCAGGAGTATGAAGTTTGAAGGGTAGCGCGTAATGTTAATTGACCATCTTACCTTTATTTATAATGAACTTTTGATCATTTTGCTTTTCTTCATAATGAAATTTATGAACAAACCTAAGTTGTGGGTAGTAAAATTGTATTTTGAAACTTTTTGAGTGAGAAAGTGTCATAAGGCCAAACCTTGGGTTGGGAAAAAATTATAACGAGGATAATAACATGATATGTTGTCAATCAATTTGAGTTACACAAATGTTGTAAAACAGTATAAACTAATTGATATATAAGTTAACTTGGTAATAATAATAATATATAATAATAATGGTTTCATGGCACGAACCAATTTGGAATAAAATTAAGAAGTCAACCACATGCTTTAGTTTAAATAGGTAACATGTATGATATAATGACTTGGATTTTTACTATATTTCATTGTTTGACAAGCATTTTATATAATAAGATGATCTAATCTCATGGTATTTCGGCCATCAAATAAAAGAATTCTCAAGTGCTAAGAAACAGCTAACAAAATGTTTTCCCAGCCAATCTCTTCAATAATTTGAACTGAATCAAATGCAGTTGTGCATTTTCTTGTCAATGAAGTCTCTATATTCAATTTTTTTTTTTTTTTTTTTTTTCCTGCAAAAACAAGTAGATCAATATGCTATGCAAAAGTTGAAAAGCCAAAGATGTAAAAAGAAACAACTTGCGGAAGCACTGATACCAGTAAATTGATAAGGCAAACAACTTGTAATGAAAGCCACAGACACTACTGTCTACTAATAAATCCCTATCAGAGCAGCTGCAGCAATTCACATAAAAATAAACAATATACAATAGGGGTGCCACGTGAAGTTTGTATATAATATCCCAATCCCAATTTGCTGCAAATGCACAGAGATCTACAGCTTAATGCTATCTTTTTTCTTTATGGAATTCTCTGCATTCAAGCAATTCATTATTCACCTACAATTTGGAAATGAAACAAGAAAGGAACACTTTCTTAACAAACCTCCAGACATGTGACATCGCATCTCATTAAAAATCAACCAAACGTTCAACGACTGATTTTTATTTCATTTCCATAAGATGACTTCATAAAATTAGTTATAACCCATCCCTTTGAAATTCATGTCTATGGGAATTTCATATATCTAACTGCCAAATTTTTATACATTCAAATACTATTATAGCTCGAATATATATATTTACATTGTTAATTGGGAGTGTTATCTCAGCTAAATTTCTCAAGACCTTGAAGTTAACAATTGGATAAACTTATTCAAGACCTTGAATATTATATTCGAAAATCTTAATTAAGCTCTCGACCACATAATTTTTTTGTTTGTTTGTAGCAATGTGTAATCAAACAATTTGGCTGAAAATTCTCACATAATGTGCCCAATAAGCAAGGGAGAAGATACCATTTTCCTTTGTGTTAATGTGTAATACTATGTAACTTTTTGTTTGCATAAATAAACCAAGTTGTTGCTTATTTTTATGTTATAGTAAATTTATGGTGACAAATTGGTTACAATGATGCTAAAAAATTTATGTTATAGTAAATTTTCACCTTATGCAATTGTGCAGTTGTTTTTGTATTATGGGCATTCGGATTCAGCCCCCTTCTCCTACAACTGAGGGAGTTAATTGACGTCTTCTAACTGTTTGACAAAATGCCCCACTCCAACGATTTTGCCTTGAAATTGTTGCTTCAGCTTTGAGTTTTAAAACTTTCTATTGGCTCGTATTGCGGCGCCCTGGTCCCTCTCACTCCAGGTCACCAACCGCTTATCTTCTTTAACAATCGAACACACCTCCATTATTGATTTATGGTCTGTTAAAATAGCTATAACATGATAATAATATTAAAATATAATAAAATGTAAAGTTCAGGCTTCTTTTGTTATTTTAATATTAGTACAAAACTTGTATTTGTTCTCTTTGTGGATTGAGACAATCCAAAACCTCCAACCTATCTTCCCAAATCAGGAAAGTCTCTTTCTTTATAGTTGGCTTTGCCTCCCCTTTGCTTCTCTTCTCTTCCATTCTCATGGCAGGCTCAGCCAATGAACGTCTTGCTTTTGGAAAGATGGGTTATGGGTAAATTTTTTTATCTTTACTGTGTTTTTTAGTTTTGTTTCTTGTTTAATGATTTTAATTTTTTTTTTCTTTTTGTGTGTGGTTTAATAGATGCAAGCATTATAGGAGAAGATGTAAGATTCGAGCTCCTTGCTGCAATGAGATCTTTGATTGTCGTCATTGTCACAACGAGGCTGCGGTATTACTGAAAAATATTTTTTAATTATCTCTTTCTGCTTTGTTTAGCTCGAAAGATTTTTCTATTTTGATCTGGGTTTTTGATTCATTTTAGCTTCTCGATCAATATTTGCTCATCTTTACTGGTTCATTTAGCTTGAATATTTACAAAATTACCTAGTTCCGATCTGGGATTAGTTGTTCTTTGTGCACTTACCTCTGGTTTCTTGTTTTGCTTGAAGATATTAGTAAATGAACCTTATTTTCGATATGGGTATTCATTGTTTGCTTGTTTTCTCATTGTTTGGATCATTAGAGCATGCTGAAAAACCCCTATGATCGGCACGAAATTGTTCGTCAGGATGTTAAACAAGTATGGTATCTTTGCCTGTTTATTAATATTTTGATTTTTAAATTTTTGTTGTACTTGAATCCACAATGACAAGAAGCTTGGATGATTTGGTGTTACAGGTTGTTTGTTCTGTCTGTGATACAGAGCAGCCGGTATGTATGTGTTCCTTGATTTCGGACATGCGGCTTCGTTTCTTATGTTTCTTCTCAAAATTTAAACTGAATTTATTTGTATTTCAGGTTGTTCAAGTTTGTACGAACTGCGGCATCAATATGGGCGAATATTTCTGTGAAATTTGCAAGTTCTACGATGATGATGTAATCATACTCTCTAAGATTTAACTCCAAAACTAAAAAACAAAATATGCAAGCTATTGGGAAAAAAATGCTTCTTTAGCTTTGTTGATTCGTCAGGCTTTTATTTTGGGATGAAATAGATTAAGATTTGAAATATGGTACATGATATCAGTTTGCTATTAGAACAATTTTTTCTCTAGTAATGTCAACTTCTGTTTATACACATTGCAGACTGAGAAAGGGCAGTTTCATTGTTATGACTGTGGAATCTGCAGGTCAGCAAAAGTTTGATTAGTGGCTTCTGTTTTTTTGGCCATTATTATTTATTATTGTTATTAGAATTTACGATATGAACTGTCGTGGTCTAACTTACAATTTTTATACAGGGTGGGTGGTCATGAGAATTTCTTTCACTGCAAGAAATGTGGTATGCGCTTGTAACCGGCCTGGTGATAAATTTTTAACCTATAACTATTTAAAGAGTAAAAGATCTTATACGGTTATAAAACTTCTTATTAGCATTTGTCTATGTGCTATTTCATTAAGGGCCCCATGCAACAGTTAGCTTGTTTCCCACTGATAAAACACCATTTATGTCTGTCTGTTGCTATGGATGGCATGATGTTATGTGATTTCTTTTCATTACTTTCCGGTTTTCTTTTTCTTGTTCATGTTGCTTGTGAGGGGTTGCTGCTGTATTTGTTTTTCTTATGACAATTGTTTTCCTTTTCAGTTCATGATTTTTCCTTGACTGGGGCATATATATAATTTGTCATGTTGTTGAGTTCATTCGTTCATTTTCAGCCTTTGCATTCATGCTTATTAATGATATTTTTACATGTTCAGGGTCTTGCTATGCGATAGTTTTGCGGGATAATCATTTGTGTGTAGAAAATTCCATGAGGCACCATTGCCCCATATGTTATGAGGTTTGTGTTGTAATTACTTAGTC